TGAGCAGAAGACAATTCTTAAAAAAAAAAAAACATTACAATTTTACAGTTCAGAAACTTTTGACTGGTAGCATATGTATTTATTATTTTAAAGGCTAGCGGCTCTAATGGCATTGCAAAAAATATATAGTTCAGTTTCTGATAGACTCGAATGGCATTGAAAAGTTATTGTGCTGTTATATTGTGCATTTCTAAGGAAATTATCTGATCTGATATGTTTTGCATTTGTACTCACTGTACTTGTGCCCTAGCTGTGCTCCTCTACCGACTGCAGGCGTGTAAAGCAGAGATGTGCCTCTAGCTCCACCTTGTGCTAGAAAGTTCGTCTGCATTTGTTTTGAAAGTCTGGTTAAATTTGAAAAGATTTAATTTTAAAATTTAAAATTAAAAGATTAAAACGTAGCTCAGGAAAAGACCATTAAAGATCTGAAATAAGGGTTCTCCTAGTTCAGTAACGTTAGTTATAAAACATACACGGCAAGCCAAGGAACATCTATATACCTGTATATACGACACTTGCTAAAAACATCTGCTAAAAGCCTTTATAATACATCCATTAACATCTTATTTAACATACATTCCAAACAAATATGATTTTCAGCTTTCTTTGGTGAGGGCGAGAGCAGCGGTAGCTGTTTCTAGAGGGGACCGTTTCTCTGTAACAGTCAGCTACCTGACTTCCGGTCGATGCACTGTTGGCTGGAGAACGATAATTTCCTCGGAGTTTTGGATGGATAAACAAGACCGTCGAGTTGCCAATGCGCACTTTGCGCAGAGGAAATATAGCCCTGAGTTGGTTGAAAGTGTTTATGCTCATGTTTTCAGATTCAACCAGTTACCAACTAGATGAAATAGATGACCGCTGGTTTTTAGCTCAATCTGCATTTATGAAGAAGCTTTAAAGATACACAGCAAAAACAATATTTGCTGGGGATCTAACGTATAGGACATTGCGCTTTACTCCATAATGTTTTATTTCACTTAGGAAAAATGTGGAAAGCATTGGACAATGATATTCATCTTCGAATATATGTTGTCATCATCTGCATCTGCAGTATCTGTCCCATAATACTTTATAGTTTACTAACGGCACGTTGCTTTATAAACGTACAAACAGAATTATCACGTGAAAGGTTACCAACGTCTTAAATTTACCATCATTATTCTAAAAATTGTGCATTTAACAATTAAGAACTGCATTAATCCGTATTGCATCTCACCATGACATTCACCGTACAAAAATTACTAGTAGTTACAACCATTGTTATTACTGTAAAACCATAATAAATTAATACAGACTTTCCTTCAAACAGTAAGAAATAAGAAACCATTTAGAAATAAATCTTTCTGATGTATCTGATAAAAAAATAAATAGAAAGAACATTTAAGTTAATTTAATTAAAAATTAAAACAGCCCAATAACAATCATTCATCAAGAACTAGTAGTTTGCTTTGTAAGTGCTGTCCATCTATATCTGCATTTAATTTAAAAATGTCCCATTTTTATCACTACATTGTCTGAGCTACAGTTTTCAAGATGAAAGTGTGTGAGTACCACCTTGTCTAATTGTGGTGTGTTTTTATCTAGTGGCTACAGACATTGAGAGGGATAAAGGCTCTGGGAACATGAGAGACTCCATCCACATTGTGCTGAGATCAGTACCACGAGGGCTGACCCTGGGTCCTTCTCTGGCCGAAGATGGACAGCTAGGTCTGTGGTGTGTTGGGCGAGTGCTAGAGAAAGGCACTCTGCTAGGCCTGGAGGAACCTTACAAAATAAACAGGAAGGGAAAAGCTGAGGTATGCATACTAGAGTGTTTCAAATTTCATTTTGCACCATACAGCTGAGACAAAGGCTTGTTTAGTACCACTACAGCAAATGTGTTCCAAGACAATAGCGGCTTTTACATTTACTTCTCACCTAATAATACTGCAAGTACTTTATATTTTCAGAAGCATTGTTATAGTTTTTTTCTCTTTTTTAACTGTGTTTAGTTGAATAATAGCCCCAAGTAAGAAGTAAATGCATGTTCTTATTATCCAGGGGATTCAACATACATGCCAAAATGTGTTAAAAAATGAAATCTCAGATGAAATCTACTGGATGAGGTAAGTTTACCCAGAATTCATGAATTATTATATTTAGTAGAACTATTAAGTGACATATCAAGACATCGCAGAATGAGACTTGTTTAATTGCCTTCACAGGTTTGCCTGCAGTGCTCAAAGTGAGGAAGAGAGCAATGTCAGTGTGCTCGAGGTGGATGGAAAATTAGGCCTTAGGGTCTGTCGAGACATTCAACCAGGAACAGAACTGCTCCTCTGGAAAGAACAAGAACAAGAAGAAGAAGCCCCTCTTGAAAAAGAAGTAATGCAACTAAAAGCCTGTGAAATTAGTAGTACTCCAAACAGAGAACAAGAAGATACTTTAGAGGCCATCACATTAGATCACCTCTCAGACTGTGCAGGTGAGTTTATACTTAATATTTGCACTGTGTAAAAGGTCCATGATATGATGTTGTTCTTCGTAAAATGTGGAAACGTTTGTATTCTAACAGATCCTGTTCAAAGTGCCACACAAGAGGATACAAAACCTCCAATCAAGGAGAAAAATCTTGTGCAGGAGATTAGAGCATGTAATTTCAGTGTCCTGGAGCAGAATGGGGTAGATGAGGCACATGGGGAAGGTGAAGGTCAGCAAAGTGATGAACATCCTGCTAGAGATAAGATCCAGAGCATCAGTGATAGTACATCACAAGCCCAGAGTTCATCAGAACATCTGAAGCCAGAGAGAAGCCTGAGAGCCAGCTCTCGTCTTGCTGCTAAACCTCGAAAAGTGCACTCATCAACCATCCTTATCTACAAACGACAAGATCCAAAAAACAGGTCAGACCTCAGCAGCAAGAAGAAGCTCTCGGATAACAAAGACAACACAATGCAGACATTGTATGCTAATGAGGATTCCAGCACAGAGCAAAATGAGCAGGATTTTCCTCATTTTGTTATCCGAGAGAGGAAGTACAAATGCAACGAGTGTGACAAGAGCTTCTTTCAACTGTGCCATCTGAAGAAACACAAATTCACACATCAAAATCAGAAGCCTTACATGTGCACAGAGTGTGGTAAAACATACAGTTCGCAGGAGAGCTTCCAAGCCCACTTGCTGATGCATCGCGGTCAGAGGCCCTTTCAATGCCAGCACTGTGACAAAAGCTACGGCTTGAAACGGGACCTCAAGGAGCACCAGGTTCTTCACTCAGGCGAGAAACCGTTCGTCTGTGACATCTGTGGCAAAGCTTTCGCTCGCCGGCCCTCGCTACGCATCCACAGGGAAGTCCATCGGATGAAAGAGCCGGACTACCAGGCTCCCAAAGTCAAGTGTCCAGAGTGCAATAAAGAACTGGCCAATTCTGGTTCCTTGAGGAACCACATACGGCCGTACGTCTACCAGCACTGCGACAAGAGCTTTCGCCAACATAGCAATCTGCTGGGACACATGCGCATCCACACGGGAGAGAAACCCTACCAGTGCGACCATTGCGAACTGCGCTTTTCCCAAGTTCCTGAACTGCGCCGGCATCTGATTTCACACACGGGTGAGGTGTATTTGTGTCCTGTGTGTGGTAAGGCTCTACGGGACCCTCACACATTGCGGGCCCATGAACGACTGCATACGGGAGACAGGCGCTATAAATGCGAACAATGTGGGAAAGGGTACACGATGGCAACCAAGCTAAGGCGCCACATGAAGTCTCACCTAGAGGAGAAGCCACATGTTTGCCAGGTGTGCAGAGCCAAATACACAATGATGCAGAGTCTGCAGCGGCATCTGCAGTCTCACAAACATCACTCAGACTCTGGTCATGCATTGCCGACACGAGGTCGGCCCAAAAGGTCGGGCCAGAAAGCAGAGGATGAGCAGGGTAGTACTGAATGCAGTAGTTTGGAGGAGGGACGGGCTGTGGCATATGTTCAAGCCTCCGAAGATTTCACTATGGTGTCTCACCCAGAAGGTGTCATTTTGGACTCTGGAGTGTACCACCATGGTACAATTGTTTTGGAAAAAGGAGTGGAGAAGGGGCTCGAACGCATTGAGCTCAGTGAGGATATGATTGAGATTATTGTCTCAGATGAAAATACCAAGTAGTGCAAGAACAGCCTTCTAAGTGTGTAGAGCTTCAGGAACAGGAAGCAAGTGCTAAATGCCTAGTTGTGCAGGAAAATTATGCCAGCAGTGGCTGTATTGTAGTTCCAGAGCAGGATGCTAATAGTTGTTTGGTCATTTTACAAGGTCCGGATGGTTTAAGTTCAGTGGCACAGACTGTAGAAATAGAGACAGGGCTGTGACACTTAAGTGTTTCCATTTTACATATATATTATGTCTCACACCAAAGGAAAAACAACCTTTGTGAAATAAATGTTTAAGCTCTGTTGAATTTAAGTCTTGCTGTTCTTTGATTTTTTTTAGGAGGGTTTGTGGCACATATCAGTAAATATTGACTCCTGTGCGCAGTGGACGTTGTTTCATTACTGTTTATACAGACATTGTACAAGTACACCAGCAAAACACAGCTGTGTTGGGAAATGAGCTAATACAAGAGGAAATTTTATGATAAATCTGTTGCATTGATGTTAAAATTATCACATCATTTATGCATTAACAGTAAAATTTAAATGCCATGTTTGTACTTTTTACATAAAGTACATGCTGATTACTGATAAATGAAAGGATAAGCAGAGTGCTAACAGAGCTCTTCAGCTACATAGATAAGATCATCATTTCATGATGCATCTACATTTAAATAAATATATTTAAAAAATATTTAAAAAGTTGTTTTAGGATATATATTGTAGAGTACTTTTGTTATAAATATTAGAATTTTTTATAATATATCCTCACACATGAATTCACATAGCTTGGAGATATGAAGCTTATCATCTTGTTTTCATGCAGTATATCTATGATTCATGTTCCTCAGAAAGCAAAGAATGTTCCACATTGATATAAGGGTGATCTGATACAGAAAAGTGGCTTTTTTTTGAGTGAAAAGTGTTCAGACACTTTGTTCTCTTTGAACTCTGGTAGTTCAATATTAACTTGGTGACTCCAGTAACTCCAGATGTGGGCTTTTTGACTGATTAGATTCGATGACATGCTCCCAAGTTTTTTCAGGATTACAGGCTCAGTCATCCTCAAGAATGGGAGCAAAAGCGACACCTCTTCTACTATCGCTACTTCTTGGACATGTTCTCCACCTCACATTGTGTAATGACGGTAAGCATTAACTGAGATTTCTATGCCTTTTTGGCTAATTAGACTAAGAACAAAATTATAATGTGATGATTCTACATATAGTATGTGAGTCTAGATGTTTTTGGAAAAACATTGACTTTTGTGCCTCAGTGTTTATCGACAACAAGGAAGCCTCTCAGATCATTCGAGCAAAGAGGGCTAACACGGTTTTTGAGGAGTTAAAACCAGGGAATCTGGAGAGAGAGTGTGTGGAAGAGATTTGTGACCACGAGGAAGCTCGAGAAGTGTTCGAGAGAGTTGATAAAACGGTGAGCAATGGCCTTGTGGACCGATTAGCTGCAGTTGGAAATAAATGGAAATGTTTACATTTCTATCAGTGCATATTTTCAGTGGTATATCTCTGTATAAATACAGATATTTGAAGTGTGGTATAATTCATTTTTTGTAGTATTTTATGTTAATGATTTTTTCTTCCATTGCCTCACAGGAGATTTTTTGGGCGAAATATTTGGGTAAGAATATATAGCCTATATATAAGACATTACGGAAAGTTTCAGTGTAAACAGTGACAACATTTTGTGTAAACAGTTTCTATTGAACCAGGGACAAAGTGCATTTTCACTGACCTTTGCCTGATAAATTTACAAATTAGTAAGATTAGTATCAGGTTAAAACAGTAGCAATTATAAACAAACCTTATAATGAATAAATATCATTGGTTGGAGTGGTAATCCTTTATTTTTGAGCTATTTCTAAATATGAACTGTTTACAACTTTAAAGGGGTCATATGATGCTGCTAAAAAGAACATTATTTGGTGTAATGACATGTGTTTATGCGGTTTAAGGTAAAAAAAAAAACACATTATTTTCCACATACTGTACATTATTGTTTCTCCTCTATGCCCCGCCTTTCTGAAATGCGTCGATTTTTACAAAGCTCATCGGTCTAAAAAGCGAGGTGTGCTGTGATTGGCCAGCTACCCAATGCGTTGTGATTGGCCGAATACCTCAAGCGTGAGACGGAAATGTTACGCCCCTCACCACATTGTGATGCCCTGTCCGGCCTGAGCAAAGAGACACAAACATTAAAACCCATTACAAACGAGGCATTTGTTACATCCAGTGGGGACATAATTACTACTAACTTTTAATCTGTAACCTATTACATTTCCAAAGTAACCTTCCAACACTGAATTTAAGTGTATCATTTAATTTATTATTAATTCATAACCACCATAGGAATTAAGCTTAATATATTGAAATTATGTTTGCGTATGTTATTTAGGCAAAACAGCACAGATGAATAGGGTAAAACATTTACCAATAGATAGCAGCATACTTCTCTAGCTGACTGATTTCACAAAAAATTGCGAAAAGTTTTTGTATTACAAGTTTCTAAAATGTAATGTCTAAATATGCAACTGAGGCATTATCTAATTAAATATGCACTCATTTGCATACATTTCCAGAACAGATGTCTTTCAGGGTTCAAAATTCATTTTTCATTTTGTTGATATATTAGAGTAAAAGGTTTTGAGGGGATTTTAGATTTCTGATTTTATCACTCCATAAATAAGAAAAAAAAATACATTTGACCATGTTTTAGGAATAAAATGTTATGAGGCAAACATATGAATAAATCCCTCTATGAAAACCTTCGGAATGTAGATAGCAATAAATCTGTAAAATTTGGTGTATGTAAGTGCTGCTGCAGTGGAGGAAAAAAATAATTTTGAGAAAACTGTCTTTATTGAAATATACAGACACAAATAGATAAAGTGTAATAATAAAACAAGGCAAATTATATTTGAACAAACCCCTCTATAAAAATCTTCCGAGTATAAATAGGAATAAAACTGTCAAATTTGGTTCATGTAAGTGCTGCTGAAGTGAAGGAGAAAATGCATTTTGAGAAAACGGCCTTTAAAAGATATGTAGTGTAACTGAAATCTACAGGTGCAAATAGATAAAGTGCAAAACCAGGCAAATGAAAGATGAAAAACCCCTCTGTAAAAACCTTCAGTGTATAGATAGTAATAAATCTGTAAAATTTGGTGCATGTAAGTGCTGCTGAAGTGGAGAAAAAAAAACTCATTTTGAGAAAATGGCCTTTAAAGATACCTATTGTAATTAATATCTACAGACACAAATAGATAAAGTGCAATAATAAAATCAGGTGAATGTTATATGAACAAACGGTCTGTAAAAAAACCTTCAGAATATAGATAAGAATAAAACTGTAAAATGTGGTGTATGTGCTGCTAACGTGGAGAAAAAAAAATATTTTGAGAAACAGGCCTTTAAAGGGGTCATATGATGCGATTTCCATTTTTCCTTTCTCTTTGGAGTGTTACAAGCTCTTGGTGCATAAAGAAGATCTGTAAAGTTGCAAAGACTAAAGTCTCAAATCCAAAGAGATATTCTTTATAAAAGTTAAGAGTCAACCACACCTACCTAAAACGGCTCGTTCTAACACGCCCCCACATACCTACGTCACTATGTGGGAAGATTTGCATAACGCCGCCCAAATGTTCACGCAAAGAAAGAAGGCGTATTTTCTATTCTCGTTGTAGTTTTGTTGTTGCCGCCGCCATGTTGTAAAGACACTGTGTGCTTCGTTGTGAAAGCGAAACTACTTTGTTTGGTCTTCCAAAAGAGGACGATATC